AACAATTCATTGAAATCTGGGAGCAAGTAATCCAATTGCAGACAATTGAAAACCTATAAAATCCCCAACACTGGAAAAAACAACCAATGAAAAATGGATCGATACAGGGTAAGACACTGTTTTCAAGAAATATTTTCCATTACTCCATAGAATAGTAGAAAGTAGAGTCACTGAACAAACAGATACGTCCCCCGAATATTTCGATCTCTCCTATCTTTCTTGATCTACAAGTTGCTTATACAGCTACTATGCTTCGTTCTTAAGCACCTCCTGAAGCTGACAGACGACGGACTTTTTTAGGTTTTCAATTGTCTGCAATTGGATTACTTGCTCCCAGATTTCAATGAATTGTTAGCAGGATTCTATATTGTTGCATGTGTTTGGAACTATCCAATATGGAATTGAATGATTGGGAAATTACGGATATATCTGTGTGATGTGTCGACGGAATGATGAGTATGATGTTGAAACGATAGATGTTCCAATTAAATTGTGTTCGAAGTTCTGTCGATTAACTATGCCACTTATATTTTATGTGGAAATGTATTTATAAGAAAGACAAAATCAGTTAATATAGAGTTATGGTTTGCTTTTATATTTGAAGATAAAAGAGTAGAAATCAGAAACGAAGATTAGATGCTGAGTAAGATATGAGTTCGATAGACATGTAATGAACCCACAGACTATCCTATTTTAAAGAAAAGAAACCGAAAGTACATGAAAATAATACACAAAAAATTCTGTAGATTGATAAAAGTGCCTATTAAAGAAATGAGTAGAATGAGAATTAAACTTAACATAGATATAAAAACAGTTTTGCGAACATTGTTTGGATCATGGAGAAAAGTATCATACGATAGTTTATCAATCGAAGATTCAAGAAGGGAAGTCCAAAAACCAGATCTATGTTCTTGTGCTTCAATTTATGTATGATTTACTCAGCACCACTAGCCTTAAGTTCATCATCGGAAACAATCGTAGAACTGCTTGATACTTGATTTTCATCATGGGCCGGAACCAATGGCTTCTTATAAAAGTATTCATTGGAACCTGTATTTCGTAGATTATATAAACAATAGAAAGAAGGTTGATTAGATAAATAGAAAAAATATTTGAACACCGATTACCCATTCGAAAGATAATACTTCGTTTGCTCCAAAATTCTGCCACATGTCGTTCGTCATCGGTTGTTGGTTCCCGTTTCAATGAACCATCGGGTGGACCTGGATTTAAGAGAACAATGGCTGGTTGTCGAATGTTAATTTCCGCGCTTTTCTTATATTTATCGGTTGCCTGCGTATATACATATAGTTTAAGTTTGTAAAAGAAAGATAAATTTTCAAAAGAAATACGATTAAAAGAAAAAGAAAGAATTCGAAAGAGAGTATTTCACCTACATTTATAAGACCATTTTGTGTCAAAAGATCATTTTTATCAGGAAAGCCCTTGTCTTCGAATTTGTCCAAATCGATGTCATCAAAAATTGAGTAATTTGCATAATCATTCCAACCGTCTAATCGCCATCGACCTTTGAAATAATTTTAACGACCCGATAATGATTTAGCAAAGGATGTTTTGCCAGTGCTCGTAGATCCAATTAAAATCAAACATTTAGCTCGGGATGTACGTTTCAAATGATGTCTTATCCAACGGTTGGGTGTGGGTGTGGTACGGAAATCTCAAAATTGATTCAAAGCTAGATGCGACCGGTTTCGTCCTTGCTTAAGGGACTCGTCAGGCAAATTTTGAATCAAATGCTACATTAGTAAAATTATAATAAAGATCACCTAGATATTTCCGAGTATGGAAAAGTCGCGATTCTTATATCAGCGGTGAAATAAAGTAAGTTGAATGAGATAAATGTTTGTTGTGTTTGTATTTATATAGAGAAACAAATTTCATAAAGCAATAGGAAAAATCTTAGGAAAAGGTAAAACACGATAGAAGTGTGTGGTATCTTTTCGAAATCGTTAGAAGCTTGAAATTTTGTTTGTTTTCAAGATTCATCGAATGTTCTCATATTTTGGTTGCAATACAAGTGACGGTTGACTGATTTCGTATGAGTGGCTTCATTGTTCAGTATGTTCACTCTTTTGTATGTCTTCTGGTTTGTGAAAGTATTTCTTTGGACCTATTGTTTAGCGGAAAATGATGTATACTAGGATTAGAATTCTGTTGGATGAATGAAAATGTGTACTTACCCATTCGATAAATTATGGCATGCTCTTTCCAGAACATTGCTACACGCTCCTCTTCATAAGTAATTGGTGGACGCCCTAATTGTCCTTCATGTAGGCCTTGGTTCAGAAGCATAATAGCTGGTTGTGTACAATTTATCTCTATGAGTACTCCTGTTTCATGCGGTACCTAAATTATTTTGAAGAGAAACGGCGCTCATATGAAATTCGAATCGAAATAAAAGTATTCAAAAATACATCTGTCACATACTTTGAAATATCCATTTTGTATCAATATATGTTTCTTGTTTGGAAATCCTTTTTCTTCGAATTCATCCCAGCCGATATTGTCGAAAATGGAATACGATGTAAAGTTTTTCCAAATATCTAATCGCCATTGTCCATCAAAATAATTATAATAACCTGGTAGTGATTTAGCAAAGCTTGTTTTTCCAGTACCAGATGGTCCAATTAAAATTAAACATTTGGCGCCTGATGTTCGACGTAATTCTTGTTTGACCCATCGATTTACTGCCCTACCTAAATTTTAATTAAAAATAGAATAAGATTAGGAATACAAAGTTATATATTGAATGATTGATTTTATTTTCATTATTTGATATTTCTACATACGTAATGCAGGTGTACAATCCGGAAACGATTCAGGCCAAGCATGAGTTTTGAAAATAAGGTGTTCCAATCGATTCATTTTTTCTTCTTGTTCCCGTACAAATATATGATTCAGTTCTTTGAAATAACTTATAACAATACAATAATACAAAAGAAATGATAGAACATATTTAAAGTATACGAACTTTAGACGATTTTTTGAAAAGTCTGATGGCATACCATCTCGTATCCTGTCCATTGCTACATTAACATTTGTTCGTGCTAATTCGGCTGCTCGAACAAGAATGAACTCTTCTGGTGTTTCTGGAATGAAATCATCGTTCATATTGTTAAACATTATTGTATATCTGTTGAAGATGAATGGTCAATAAGTTTTAGTATCTATAAAAGAAAAAAAGAAAATATATATATACTTATGAAATATGGAATAGAAATAAAGTAATCAATGAAAAAGTGGTATCTTGAAGTTTTCGATAAAGATTAACGTCACAAGAATACACAAAAAAAAGACACAGAAAAATATGAACTGCAGGAATATGCGAGTTCATAGCTAAGTGAAGAATGTAGAAGAAAATGATTAAATCAGACATTTAGTTTACAATGAACATATCAATAAACATGAAGAAATACAATGCTTATAACACTTTCCTATAATGATAATCCAAAATAACTAAACTGACTAACAAATTGAGAAACTAAAATACAAAATGAAAAGGAAATATTGTTATACATTTAATGAGATAACAGCTGATGATTTGCTACAGAAGCTGCTTATCTTGTAGATTCCATTTTCGTCTATATATCTCGTTTTGGTTTCTTGTGAATTAAAAGACTTTGCAATGTTCGATTTAATATAGTAACAAGAATCAGTCTTGTATTTCTTAAACGTGAACCAGGATGGACATAGTATTGTTCCCAAATTTGACGATATTCTTTTTTAAAATTTATTAATGAACCACTTTCGAATGTGTAATCCAGATATATTTTATCTTTATGTTCATAGTTTGTCGACTTTTTAAAAGTTGTACCATTTGATTCAAGTTCAGCTTTTTGTTCTCGTCTTGTGGGTCTATAAAGTAATTCATGATGTAGTTGTTGATACGATTCACTATTTAATTCAGTCCACACATTCATC